GAAGCTTTTTAAAGAGGATGTTGTTTCCAGAACTTTTGGGATGTGACTCGACAAAGGTGGGGTTATATATCAAGAAGTGAACTAGACAGAGTAGGAACAAGAATTGATGATAAGGAAATCAAAAATGCTCTCTTTGAGATGAGGGGACTAAAAGCATTGGGAGATGATGGATTCCCTGCAATCTTCTATCATAGGAATTGGGATGTTGTAGGAGGGGAAGTGACTGAGTTTATTAAGAAATTGTGGATGCGGCCTGAGTTAGTTAAAGATCTCAATAAAATCTTGTTTGTCCTAATCCCAAAAATTGAGAACCCTGAATTCACGTGTCTCAATTTAGACTGATCACTTCATGTAATGTGTTGTATAAAGGATTAACTAAGTTGCTAGTATGGATAAAATTGGTTTCACCTTTCTAGGGTAGTTTTGTTATAGGCCGAAATATTCAAGACAACGTCATCATGGCTAAAGAAGTGGCTCATACAATAGGAAGGATGAAAGGCAAGAGAGGTTTTATGGTCACTAAAACTGACCTTGAAAAAGCATATGACCACTTAAAACTAGGATTTTTTGTTGAAGGCCTTAGAGGAAATTAATCTACCTCAACATTCGAGCTTATATTTCCATTTTTGAGATGCAGATTATGTGGAATGGTAGTAAAAAGAGGTTTTAGACCATCTAGAGGTATAAGGCAACGAGATCTCCCCTCTACATACCTATTTGTTTTAGCTATGGAGAAATTATCCCATATTATTGCTGACTCTGTACATTGTAGAAAATGGAAGCCTATAAAATTGGGACGCAGTGGAACTTGTATTTCTTACCTCCTATTTGCAGATGATTTTCTTCTAGTTTATGAGGCATCTGAAACTCAAATGCAACATGTTCTTGAGTGTATGGATCTCTGTGGTGCTACATCTGGACAGAAAATCAACTATAAAAAAACTACAATCTTTTTTTCTAAAACTGTGGATCCGTCTAAACAAAACTGGCTTTCGGGGCAGAGTGGTTTTCAGAAGGAAGATTTGGGCAGATACTTGGGTGCTAGAATCACCTACCCGGGAGCAAAATTTTAGTATCTTATTGACAAGGTTCAACAGAAGTTAAATGGATGGAAGACTCTAACTCTTTCTTTGGTTGGAAGACTCATGCTGGTACAATCTGTTACTTCGCAACCAGGTTATTTTCAAATGCAGCATGATTTTATTCCTATTGGAATATGTAATGAAATTGAACATATGCAAAGGAATTTTATGTGGGGCTCTGCAGAAAGAGAAAGTTAGATGTTGTGAGTTGGGAAAACGTTTGTAAACCTAAGGAGGAAGGAGGATTTGGAATAAGGAGGGCAAAGAAAATGAATGACGCGCTGCTCGGGAAGATTGGGTGGAATTTAATCACTAATCCTGAAAGTCTTTGCTCACGGGGTGTGCTAGCTAAATATAAAAGGCAAGCTGACCTGATGAGAGAGGTGGATGTTAAAAATTCTGATTCTATTTTATGGAAGCGAGTGGGAGATATGTGGCTGACGTTAATCCAAAACGTTGGATGGGAGGCAAGAAGAGGAAATAAAGTGAAATTCTAGTCTGATTGCTGGCTAGTAAAAGAAGGCAAGTTGATTGATCACTGTGTAAGGGATCCAGAAAGTTTGGATATAGATCTTGTAATGGAGGGGGCTATTGATAATCAAGGAATTGGAATTGGCAGTGGTTGAAAGAAGTCCTTCCTGCTCACATTGTCAACAGATGTCATGGTATCCCTCCTCCCTGTTTGGAGGACAGTAAAGACAGAATTGTTTGGCTAGAAACCCAGAGTAAGAGCTATGTGGTAGCCGGCATGTATAAAAAATTAGTTATCATGGAAGCAGGTCCAAGCTAAGGAACCGAATATGGAGGCTCATTTGGAATTAAAAATTGACCAGGAGAATCCAAGTTTTTCTCTGGTTGGCTGTTCAAAACCGTCTCCTCACTGCTAAGAGGTGAATGAAAATATTTGGAAGAGATCCGAAATGCATGAGATGTGGGGTGGGTGCTGAGGATCTTCTTCATGTAATGTGAGATTGCCCTGAATCTAAGAAAATTTGGACTGCATTGGGCGTCCAAGCGGCGGATGGCTTCTATAATGAGACCCTGGATAGATAGTTTATAGGGAACTTGGGTGGAGGATGTGAGTGGAGTGTGACATTTGGAATATGCTGTTGGATGATATGGAATTGGAGGAACAAATTGTTGCTTAGAGAAGGTTTTACTATGCCTAGAAGACCTGATATATGTACCAAGAAATATGTTTGAGAATGTTTGGCTTTCACTGCGAAGGTAAATAAATTTGGTATGGCTAGATTGAATCTGGATGCTAAATGGAAGTTTCCTCAACCTGGTTGGATTAAGTTGAATTTTGATGGATCCGCTAAAGGGTGTCCTGGACCCGCTGGCTATAGGGGAGTTTTGAGAAATGATGGAAGCTGGGATTGTGGATTTGTTAAGAACATGGGCTGTACAAATGCTCCACCCAGAGGTATCTCTGATTTGTCGTTAAGAGACTTGATTGGGGTTTCCTATCCACGCTCTTATTTAGAGGATGAATATATAAAATTCCTTAAAAGATGAGTCTGGGCGTATACATAAAATTGAAAGAATAAGAACTTTATTCTGGGCCAGACCATGTCTCTTGACTTCGTCCAAATTAACGTCGGCGATGATAACTATTTCCATTGTTTTCCTTTATGCATGTGTGGCTTCAACATGTATGTCAATCTGTATTCTGGTGTTTGTTGAATAGACACCATAATTGTTATTATTAAGACATTCGTTAAAAATAGAGCAGACGTGAAAATATGATAAATTTATTTCTACTGCTACTCCATAAGTAACAAACACAAAAATAAAATTATTAAATTAGCATGTATTTTCCACTAGTACGTGTGTGATACGCAATAAAAACGATTTTTAAAACAACAAGACCATAATTTTGTTTGAAACCAAAAGTAGATAAATAGTATGATCTCCGCTTCTAAACCTAAAACCTAAATTACATTGTAAAATACTACCTCCGGTCTTAAATATAAGAGATAGTTGACTAATTTGAGGAGATTAAGGAAATAAATTAAGTTAGTTATTCGTAATAAATAGATGTTGTCTTTCCTAAAATATTCTTGCTAATAAAGTGTAATGCATAGAACTATCATTATTAAAAAGACTGCCTTGGAAAAAATGCATAAATATGAGAGATAAAATGGATTAGAATCTTATATTTAGAACCAAAATAAAAGTCAAACAAGATCTTATACAGTATTAAGGACTGGAGGTAATGTGTCTTGTATTCAGGATTAGAGTATTAATATAATAAAATAGAAGCTTCAGAGATACTACTTAGTATATTACTATTTATCTTAGTTATGAAGGCACCTAGTCGCCAAGAGTAGTTGGCAATGTTGTGTTGAAAATTGTCGCACGGACAAACTTGTTTTACGCGTTTGATTGCTGCTTCTATCTTAAAGGGGTTGGTAAATCAAATTTAGATTAACCAAAAGTCCAAAACGCAATCTTCCCATTCATTATAGTATAATTATTTAAGTCAATTTGTGACTTCATCAATCAAATTAATGGAGGATTCTCGTACTTTTTCATTCTTCCTAGGTAATATAATATCTTATCTGAGTCTTTTTCTTTCTATAAAAAAGCCGTAAATATTACTCTATATTATAAAAAAAATAAAGGGTTAATATAATTTTTAGTCCTTCAAGTTTGCTCTCATTTTAGTTTTGATTCATCAAATTCTAAACTATAAGTTTTGGTCCCTGAAGGGGCAAAATAATACAAGTTTTTATTAGATTATAGGGACTAATATTATAACTAAAAAGAAACTTGAGGGATAAAAATGTATGGTTTGAAATTTGATGGACCAAGAGCAAAATAATGATAAACTTGAGGGACCAAAATTTGTATTACTGCAAAAATAAATAAAGAAAAATTGTTTAAAGGAACCAAGTAAAATCTAGGAGAAGCCCTCAACTTGGGAAGCATATCATCCTCAGAGTTCTTTTCTCTTTCAACATGTTCATATTGAACCATTTCTCAAACAATCTACGATTCTCAACCCCATCTCATTTTATTTATAACTCACTTTACAAAAATTTATGAAGCAATTAATTTTTTTTCAATAATTCTCTCAGTATTTGTGATAAATATATTTACGGTGGAATTTTCTGAACATTAAATACAATTTTATTAATTTTATCCTTAATTAATTGTATTATCTTTTTCTTATACGTTTTCTTTTATCTTTTTCCTTATTATTTCTCTTTATCACTTATATCTTATAAATAAAGGTATCCTTGAAAAAAATAGTACATTTCTTATATATTTGTAAGAGCTCCTCTAGTTTTAAATGTAAAATCCAGTTAAGAAATTAAATGCAAAATCTCAAGATACTTTATCTCTCATATTTATTATTTTTCAAACTAATTTATTTAACTTATAAATTGATGTATAATGATAATCTAATATTACATAGGAGTAATATATGAAGATTATGTCATATTTGTTAAGATTAAGTAATCTTTTTATCTTTCTTAATATATCTAAATTAATTAAGTAGCTTTTATATTAAGGGATAAGAGGAGTAGTTTTTTTAATTCATGCATTATTCATAAAATATTATTGACACTATTATGACGGTTCTTATTACTAAATACCCTATGCAAGCCAAAATCAATTTCAAAAGAGCTCTTTTACAACAAAAGCATATTAGAAAAGTAATACAAGAATTGCTAAATTTGTACACCAGACTCTCCAATAATTTAGCCTTAACCTTAAAATGCCTTTTAACAAGGCCATGCATGCAACCACAAAAAATCCCGCACTTACACTGTGTATATATATAGCTTTCTCCGTCCCCTCTTTATCCAACACATCCAAGCAAAGTCGGTCCAGTTTTTAAGCCTATGAAGTATGAATCCCCCACCCATCGTTTTCCCCCCACCTAGATATATATATACAATCGTCGTGATGGTGATGAGACTCGTCGAGGTTGATAACCTACAAGGGGCCATATTGTTCCGAACCGCCGTTTTCAAAGCGAACGAGGGCTTGGTCTGGACGGTGTCGCTCTATGTGGAATTGATGAAGGAGGACGTTGGGACGAGGATCATCGTCGTATGTGTTGGCTCAGTCTGTGGAGCTTTGGCTATGGCCATCTGTGAGTTTGTATCCGCGTCTTCGAAGTTTGAAATCAAGGAAGCTCGGTTGAAAAGAGGAGAAGAATTGACGGACGACGAAACAAACTTACCATGCCCGCTTATGGCTGCCATGGCCGCAGCAGGTGGGTTCGCCTGCAGCGCTATCTTCCCGATCGTGGCGGCACCCATAAGAGAGTACAAGGTGAGGTTGGCGGCGGCGGCGGGTGTGGCGAGCGTTGCCTCGCCAGCGCTTGGAATGTTGATAGCTCGTTTGGGGAAGGCACCGGTAGTTAACTCATCTTTGAGCTTTTTGATCGGGGGGTGGCTTCTCATGGCAAGCGCCTTTGCCTTCATAAAATTTTTGGATGAGATCCGATGCGAAAAAGAACCAATCTGTGGATATAAATAAATGTAATTAATAATGTGGGTTGGTCACACACACACACACCCCCCCACGTTGAATGATGTATTTGTTGTCTGATGACAGAGTGATATTGTGATTAGGGTTTTGTTGCGTTTAGCGTTTTCTAGACCATGTGGACGTTTTTTTTTTTTTTTTAGAATACAAAGACAAACAAAAAGCTTGAGAAATAAAACTAGGCAGTACCCCTAGTAGTCAGATAGAAGCTTATTAGCAAAGGTATTGCTTTTATAGAAACACTTTTAAAGGAGTCAGCAGTATGGCGTTCACGAGCCAAGTAGTCTGTAATTATGTGTAGTTTGTTGGGTTTTTATTCAATAAAATGATATTTCAGCTGCAACAAAAAGAATTATCCATACTGATGTGCTTGTATAGAACCAATGTTTTAAGAACCGGACCGGACCGGACGGTCAAACCGGTTGAACCGTGACCCGGACTCGTTAACGGCTCGGTTTGGACCAAAAAACCGTTCATATAGTTGAGCCGGATTGGACCGGAGTTGAGTCGTTATTAAGCCGGAAACCGGAGTTGGACCGGGAACCGGAACGGTTTTCAGAAAACCGGACGGTTTTTTAGCTTGACTGAAAAAATACTAAAAATTTAAAAAAAAATAGAAGAAAAATAAAAAAATTGATCCCCTTAAATATCCTAATATATTTTTAGACTATTTATAACCATAGAGTATTATTTCATTGAAAATTTCATATATTGTGGTGTTAAAATCGTAAGTCGCTAGTCTTTTTGTTTTGATATTTGGTCTATCGTTTAAAAAAATATTTTGATTTGAATGAATTGATATTTGTAATATCATTAAATATTTTAAACATACATAAATTTAAATATATAAGGTTTTAGTCCATTTTCAATGATTTCATTATAATTTTAGATTATTTAAATGCATTTCTAAATTATTTAATAATTTGATATTTTTCATATATACTAATTATATGTATATAATATTGTTTTAAATTAATTATTGCATCACCGGTCTGACCAAACGGTCCGACCGATCCGACCGATTGAACCATGACCCGTTGATCTTTCCGGCTCGACTTCCGGTCCGGCTTTTAAAACATTGTATAGAACGATTAGTTTAAGGCCGATTTGGTTATTGTTATCAGCATCTTCCATTTACAGTTAATTTGGTGTGTCATGTGGAGGCAATTGATGCTTTGTGGGTGACATGCTTTAAACATTATAACATCCAACAAGATTTCAATACCCTTTGAGTTATATATGTTGTTAGGCTTTGGCTTGCTGCTCCAAAAACTCGCGGTGGCGTATCTCCTTGATCCCAAACAATCCTTCACCTTCAAAAGGTCTTTGTTTGACGGAACTTCCTCGGTTTCTGCAGGGTAGCTAGCTAGCATGTCAGTCCATGATGGACATTTGAATTGGATACTATTTTGCAAGGCTAATTCTGGTTCAACCTGACTTTGATTTAGACTTGTGTGGGTGGACTTCTGCTTGATTCATTGTGGACATTTGGTTCATTGAGCTTGAGTTTAGGCTACTCTACATTTATTTTCTTTCCAGTTTTGTTATCTTTTACTTTATGTTGAGCCGGCCTTTGTCTGTTGATTGTTTGGGCTTTGCTCAAATAATTTTTTCGTAACCAGCCGACCTTTTCATCTGTATTTATTTATCTTTTAATGAAATTGTCTTTTAATAAAAAGGGGGGGCCTATTTGGGAGCAACTCTTTATGAAAAGCACTTCTAACATTCACTTATACTAGAGCTCAATATCTTAGCTTTTTTATATGGCTAATTCCTTCCATTAGGATTAATATAATGGCTGTTAATTAAAAAAACTCTAGTTAGAGAGATTAAACGCAGGGTCCAAGAGGAAACAATTCAGGGCAAATGAATTTATTGCGCGAACTCCTTATAAATCATATATATTATTTTTTTGCCAATTTTATTATATAAGGATGATTTTATGTTCACATTTCTATCTACACATCTCACTCTATATCTTTACCATTTGAGATAGATTCAGGTAAGGTTATATGTATTTTATTTTTTAATTAATAACAATATGGGTAAATAAATGCTCCACGGCATAATTATTATAAGAGTACTATCAGTCTGTCACAGTATCACTGAAGCATGGTAGGCTCCATATTATTTTTCCTTAATTATTGCCAGAGTTACCCTTTTCACTCTCAAAAGTCAAAAACGATCAAATTTTTGTTAAAATTAAAAGTTAGTACATGGTTATATATGATACCAATATTCCTTTTATTTGTTCATTAATTCAACAGTTAGTTGACCATTAATTATGTTCCGACCGAAATTTTGAAATATTGATAATTTTAAAATTAATTAACATTAAGAGGCAGAGGAAAATTGATGATATATTTTGCAGAAGGTGAAAATGAATGTGCGTCAGTGATGACTAAGTCGTCTCAACTTCTTAATTTTTTTTTTGGTTTGCCATTTTCTTATTATTATTGTTATTTAAATATTTTAGTACGAAACTTGTTCAAAGAACCAATATTACTATGTCAAATTAACGTACTACGTGGGTTAGCTCTAGTTTAGATATCTCCAACAGCAAGCAAAGCTTTCTAGACATCCAATGGCTATATGTCTGTTTCATGGGTAATGTCTTTAATTTGTTTGATCAAACCCTTATTAGGAGGCAATGAATGCATATAATATAAGTCCCTTTGTTTTTAAAATTATTATTGCTTGTTTGTTTCATATTATTTCTCTTTATGTGTAATTTTAGATTTGAATTTCTTTATCGAAGCCTAGAATCATGCATTGGGCAAAATTATGTGGGGTTGTGTCACAAAGCATTTTAAATTCTTAGAATGGCCTGTTGGATTGGTGATCCAGAGAACTGGCTATTTCGCTGGTTCAATTGACCCCAACTAAATTGAGAATAAATAATAATTAATTTGGATTCTCACTGGAAAAGTATTCATATTATAATTTTCTATTTCATAGTATCTCAGATGGGATCATCTGTAGTAAGAGGATACTCATATGTTAAAAAAAAACGTCAATTGACTCCGGATTTTTTATGGTTGACCCGATACTGTCCAGAGAGTTGGCCGGACCATCAAGTTAGGTTTTATATAATTTTTTTTCCTATCGTGTTCAAAATGACGCCATTTGAGTTAAAAAAAAGTTAGGAGTCTACATATTTGTGGTCTGATTTTATTTTGTGGGGTTGTATGTGTTTTATACATGAATGTTGTATTTACTTATATGTTAGTATTTTATTTAAATATTACTTCTTAGAGTTGTCTATGAATATTTATATATATAATTAAATTATATTCTTTCATTATAATCGATTTTTTATAATGTTTTATTTTTTAAAAAAATATTTTTAATATAATTTTAATTTCTAACGACACTAATTTTGAATTTTAAATCATAAATAATTTTTTTATAAATAATTTTTAAATTTATTTTTTAATTAATATTGATAAGATATACAATTTAATGATATATGTATTATATTACATTATATTATATTATCTATATGTATTTTATATATTTGAATAAAATCATTTACAATTAGGCAAAAAATCTTGTTATTCAAAAATAACTACTATAATAAAATCTAATAAATTATTCTATATAAAAAATTAAATGATTTAGATAGATTATGATAAACAGTATTCTCCTACTTGTATATATATCCTATGTAATTTATTTTCTTAAAATTCTTTGTATACACCATTTGTTTTTGTATTGAAGACTAAAATCAATCTATATCATGGGTATTAATTATATCCTGATTAAATTTGATTGTTTAATAATTGAAATTCAAAATTTATTTCAATATTAACTTGCATTCATATAAATTTATTAAATTGTTATGAATTTCTATCATATATTATATATTTCAATATATTTTAGATAAGATAAAATTATTTCTTTCTTATATCAGTTTGTATAAGAAAGTTATTAATATTCTTATTATATTTTTTAATTATTATTAATAATCAAGAGGAATTTATTTTAACAAAATATAAACAAGTTGTCTAAGAAATTGTCTTTTTATTTTCAGTATATACATAATGATGACATGAATGATGACGATATCTTCATTAATAACAACTCCACAAGTATATCGATTTATTTTATAATTAAAAATGTTTTTAAATCATTATATTCTTAATTGTTATTATATAATTTTTGTAAGATTATAATTAAAAATAACAAAATTTAAAATTAGTGAAGGATTAGCGACGGAATGAAATTAGCAACGGAATTAGTGACAAAAACTTCTATGACAAACAATTTAGCTACGGAATTAGCGATGAAAATTTCTGACGAAAAAAATTCCGTCGCTAAATATTTACTGACGGATTTTCCAATGAATTAACGACGGAATTTATTGATGAACAAAAATTCCGTCGCTAATTTGTCACTAATATTAGCAACAGAAAAATTCCGTCGCTAATCCGTCAAAAAAATTAACGACAGAATTTTCGTCGTAATTCCGTCAAAAATTAGCGACAGAATTTTTTTTTTTGTCGCAAATTCCGTCGGAAATTAGCGATGAAATTTGTTTCCGTCACAAATTCCGTCGCTAATTAGTTGTTTTTTTTATAGTGGATGCATCTAGCACCTCGATTTTATTTTTTTAAAGTATCCAACACCCTAATATTATTTTTTTAGTTACATCCAATAATCTTCAGGGTGCTTTGAAATATCAAAAATAATATTAAAGCGTTGAATGCATCAAAAAAGATAAAATCGAGGTGATGAGTGCACCTAGGCAATAAAATTTGGGTGCTAGCTGAACCTTATCCATAATAAAATATAGGTATAGTCAAGACTTTTGCCAAGTCCCCACGAAACGATAGTCACGTCTAACCAAAAGGAAATAAAAGTTCAGGACACACTGGGAAGTTTCATGGATGATGACTTGATAATTTTTTTTATCTATATATATTATTATAATAAAATATAATAAGTTTTTGGGAAAATTAGAACAAAGCACCTATAGAGAAAAATATTTA